CTTGTTACCCAGGCTGGAGTGCAATGGCGCAATCTCGGCTCACCGCAACCTCTGCCTCCTGGGTTCAGGCAATTCTCCTGCCTCAGCCTCCTGAGTAGCTGGGATTACAGGCACGCGCCACTATGCCCAGCTCATTTTTTGTAGTTTTAGTAGAGACGGGGTTTCACCATGTTGACGAGGATGGTCTCGATCTGTTGACCTCGTGATCCACCCGCCTCGGCCTCCCAAAGTGCTAGGATTACAGGCTTGAGCCACCGCGCCCGGCGGCACTGACATCTTACTGAAGCTTAATAAGCATCACCAGGACAAAGCGGAAACGTAGCAGGCGCGCTACCCTGCCACTGGGTTAGAGAAGGCCTGTCGGCAGGACGATTTCAGAGGACGGCAGATGTTAGCGAGGCAGCGGAACTGGCGCCAAGAAGCGTGCTGGGGACGGCGTGAGCAAGATGAAGCAGAGGGCACGCGCGGCGCCGCCCGCCACTGGCTAGGACGCATGGTGGCCAGAGGGGAGGTCTTAGGGGCCCGCGAGCAGGCTCGGAATAAAACAGTGCTGGCAGGGCGAAGTGGAGACACTCGAGAAGTACCGGCCATATATCGAAGTTCTTAGTGAGGAGGGCGCCCGAGCCGCCACCGAGACGCAGGACTACAACCACCACAATCCCCAGCGCCTGCGGTTGCGACGCTGCCTAGTTCTAGACCTGCGGCGGCGCTGCGCCGGGACCAGCGTGGGGTCACGTGACGCCAGCGAGTCAGGTGACCCTGGAGGGCTGGCGGACAGACTGCGGGGCGGCCGGTGGACGGTGGGACGCGTTTGTAGCTCCGGCCCCACCGTTCCGACCCCCGCCGTCGTCGCCGCCATGACGGGGCTAGCGCTGCTCTACTCCGGAGTCTTCGTGGCCTTCTGGGCCTGCGCGCTGGTCGTGGGTGAGGCCGGGCCCTGGCGGGCGGGGGCAGCATGGAGGGCGGGGGCAGCATCGCGGCCGAATTGGCCCAGCTGGAGCCCAGCAGGAAAGTACCCTGCAGGGAATACTGGGCCCCTGCGCGCTCTGCACCCCGTGCTCTGGGGACGCGCGCCTGCGAGTGTCTCTGACCCCGGCAAAGGAGACCCAGATCTCCTTTGAGGAGGGGCGCGGGCAGGTGGGGGCCGCGAGGGCAGCACTCCCCCTTCCTGCCACTATCGCTGTCTCCTCCCGCTCCCACGTCTCACTGGGGTCCCCCCTTTCTTGCGCCTGACCGGCCCGCTTGGTCACAAGCCGGCTGCTCTGCTTCCTCTTTTCCCGGTCGCTTTGCCCTCCCCCACCCACAGCTTGTTGGGTAAACAGCGGAACGGACTGGGCTGGCAAGATCTGGCGGGGCCTGGCTGGAGAGCTTGCTCCCTCCGTCCCGCCTCGGATTAAGGCCTGCGGGTGGCGACTGCCTGCGCAAGAGCTTGGTCTGGGAGGTGGTGTTACTGAGGGAGTGGCAGAAAATGGAGTCCTAAGCAGAGGAATCTATGTAGACAGCTGTACTGTCACCTGGGGAGCAGCCTGAGGACGCCCCTTCAGGGAGGTGGCCCTTCAGTTCGCTAGCTACTTCTTTAGGTTGAAACTTCTCTCTACAAAGCAGCCCGTAACCCCCTTTTTTACTCACTGCTGCAGGAATCTGCTACACCATTTTTGACTTGGGCTTCCGCTTTGATGTGGCATGGTAAGGGAGAGCAGGCACAGGATTCCCCTTAAAGCTTCTTCCCTGCAGCTTCTCCTCTCCTCTCTGGTCCTACCCCTTCCACACCACCACCTGCCTGGGACATGGACCTTCGGAAATATGCAGTCCCTTGTTGCATGTGGAACTGGTGGGATCAAGGAGGGTTGGGGGGCTAAGATTTTGTGCCCCACTTCCCTGCCAGGGCTGAATTGCTGCCTTCAATTGCTGCCTTCTCTGCCTCCACAACAGGTTCCTGACGGAGACTTCGCCCTTCATGTGGTCCAACCTCGGCATTGGCCTGGCTATCTCCCTGTCTGTGGTTGGGGCAGCCTGGTGAGTACTGGGGTGGTGGACTCGGGGCAGGAGCTGAGTCATGAGAGGTGGTGTCACTGGGCTCTTAGTTATGTTGGGGGCAGTGACAGCTTGGGCTCTGCTCATCAGTTTTTTATCCTTCCACCAGGGGCATCTATATTACCGGCTCCTCCATCATTGGGGGAGGGGTGAAGGCCCCCAGGATCAAGACCAAGAACCTGGTCAGGTAAGTGTAAGCGTCCTTGGACGTCAATCAGAACCAGCTGTGTTGGCGCTGCCTGTGTGTTTGATCTGAGGTACTGCTTCTGACAAGCCTCCTGGTGGGATGGGATGTTAGTGGGGAAAGGTTGCTGGGGACTTTCTGGGCAGGAAGGATGGTTTCTTTCTCAACTCTTTCTCTTTTCCACTCCTTACCCCTAACCTCTACCACGACCAGCATTATCTTCTGTGAGGCTGTGGCCATCTATGGCATCATCATGGCAATTGTCATTAGCAACATGGCTGAGGTATGGAAGGCCAGGGTGGGGGCAGGAATCCATTCCCGTGTGTTCTACACATTGCTTAGAGATTGCATTCTGATTACTTTTCTTCTTCCCCCAGCCTTTCAGTGCCACGGACCCTAAGGCCATAGGCCATCGGAACTACCATGCAGGTGGGTGTATGGGTATATGAAGGCAAAATGCTGGGGCTTCATGCCTGCTTCCCTTCCCCTCTCCCAGCTTGGAGCCTCATTTTAATATTCTGTTACCTACTTTGGCCCGCTTTGCAGAGTGGGGATGGGGATTAGCCCCGTTAGCCCATATCTCCCCCATTCCTGGCTCAGCCTCATTGTGCCCCTCTCTATCCTCCCAGGCTACTCCATGTTTGGGGCTGGCCTCACCGTAGGCCTGTCTAACCTCTTCTGTGGAGTCTGCGTGGGCATCGTGGGCAGTGGGGCTGCCCTGGCCGATGCTCAGAACCCCAGCCTCTTTGTAAAGATTCTCATCGTGGAGATCTTTGGCAGCGCCATTGGCCTCTTTGGGGTCATCGTCGCAATTCTTCAGGTGCTGAATCCCCTTGGGGAGCCTCTGTGTCCTTGTCCCCAACCTAGCCTCACCCTCCTTCTGGAGAAGCTGAAGTGCTCTCCTTCTCTACCTATAACTATAGATTCCCCCAAACAGCTTCCACCTCCTCATTTCCATCTTCTGGTTTTCTCCTGCAGGGGCTCTCTATTTTTGGCTTTGATTTGGTGTCACTGACAACAGCCCTGTTTGCCCCCACCACCAATGCTTTGTATCTGTATAGCTCTCACTTAGTCTCTCCCTCTTTCTGTTCTGTTATTTCTGTTTTTTCATGCTCTTCATGTCTCTTGTCTGTATTTATGATCTAGACTAGAATGAGATTTTGTCTGTTTATATCAGTCTGTCATGGTGTGTTTGACCGTCTCTCGGAGCTATGTGTATCTCTGTGACATGCCTGTCAGTAGGACAGCATTGTCTAAATTGTGTGTGTCTAGTCTGACAGTGTAAGTTTGTGACTAAGGATCAGCCTGAGGGTCTGAGTGTGACTGTGGCTGCTTGACTGGGTTGACTCTTAGTGACTACCTTTATCCATACGTCACTTATCTCCATCTGTCTGTCCCACAGCCTAACTCTGTGGTTGTCTGTCACAGTATGTCCCTCCTGGTTAGTCATACATCTCTTGTGGTCTGTCCATCCAACCATGTGCTAGGTCTAAATCTTCTGTTATTTGTCACTGCCTTACCTATTCCTCTGTCTCTGCCTCATTTTTCCTGTTCTTCTTTTGCAGACCTCCAGAGTGAAGATGGGCGACTAGACGATACGTGTGGGTGGGGCCGTGCCTCACTCTTATTTATTGCTGGTTTAACTGGGACAGCTGGAGCTGTAACCCTTAGCCTTTCAGAGGCTTGGTGTTCAGGGCCCTCCCTGCACTCACCTCTCTCTGCCTGTTGACTTGGAGGCACTGCAGTCCAGGCTGAGTCCTCAGTGCGGGGAGCAGGCTGTTGCTGATGATTCTGTGCAGCTGTGCACCTGTCTCCCCCACCTCTACCCCCAACCCATTGTCCTAGTGTTTGTGAAATAAACTTGGTATTTGTCTGGGTCAGTGCCGCTTCTGTTGTCCTCTTGCGCCACCGTTCACAGAGGAATGGTAAAGGGGACTGTACACCTCAGCCTCATGCCAATCCCTTGTCAGCTTTCTGACTGCACACCTCTGATCTGCACAGAGCTGGCTCCTAGGTAGGGAGGTAAGGGTGCTGGGCAGAGGACTCTGTAGCCCCCAAACATCCTTGTTGAGGGGATGAGGGAGTGTGCAGATATGGGCCCTTGGGTGTGTTTGTGCCTGTGACTCCTTTGCTCAGCGATCTAACTGACCACCATTCCCGAGTTGTCTGACCACATCTACTTACCTGGCGGTACACTGGGGTATCATCATCTCCGTCTCTGTGAGGCCTGGAGCCCAGGCAGTGGCCTCTGCCCCCAGTGATAGTCCAGTCCCAGCAGTATCCCCTCCCAGGAACCTCTACTCTGATCCTTGTTCCCAGGGCCCTAGGGAGCTCCTCCTGACCCTGTCCAATCTTATTTTCTCCTTCCCTGACCCTGTTTCCTGTTACCCTAGAAGCCCCAGCCACCTCCAGCCCACGCCGTTAAGGGTCCTGCCCCCTCTCTGCTGGCCGATCTTGAATCTTGCTCCAATTAAAAGTGTTGACAAACCCCTAGTCCCCCAGCTTCAGTCCACCCAACCTCCAGGCCCCCATCCTGTGGAGTTCGCGCTCGGATCCAATCACTACTCCCCGCTAAAGGGCTCTACAGTCCGCACCCGCTCGCCGATCCGAACTCTAAGCCCAACCCTTGGACAAGCCTGACCCATTTCCTCCGCCCCTCTCGGGTCCGTGTCTCCTGGGTGCCCCGGCTCCGCCGCCGGCAGGGCGGGCTCACAGCGGCGCGCGGCGGGTACGGGCGTGCTGGAGGCGGAGGCGCGCGCGCGGGCGCGCGGCCCAGGCCTGCCCCTCCGAGGCGCCGTAGCGCGGGAGGGAGGCGGTGGCGCTGTGGTCCGTGGGTTCGCCGGTCCGTGGGTCTGCCCGGCCGCCCGGCCCCGCCCTGCCCCCCGGGGCGGCTCGGCTCCATGGCCCGCGGCGGCGGCGGCGGCGGCGGCGGCGGGAGGCTACCTGGGGGCCGCGGTGGCCGCTGACCGGGCGGCGGGAGGCGGCGGGGCCGGGCCATGGGGGACGGAACCGTCCGCAGCCGCCGGAGCCGGGAGCCCTGCCCAAGCCGGAGCGGCGTCCCCTGCTGAGCCCCGAGCGCCGGGTGAGAGGAGGGTGCGCGCAGCCCCCACCCAGGGCCCCGAGATTCCAGACCCGGCCCCGCGAAGGGCACCCCGAGCGCGACCCCCAGATTCCAACCCAGGAGCTGGTGAGAAAGGCGCTGGCGGCCAGACCCCGGCCTGGCTGCCCCCACCCCGCCCCCACTCCGGCGCCCCTCCTGGGCTCCTCCACCCGCGCCCAGCCGGCCTCCCTCATTGTCCTAGCTCGCCCCGGCCTCGTGGCGCGGGGAGGCGTTCCGTTCACGTTTCCCCTTGGCTTTTGCCTCGGCCCCTGCCCTCCACCCACTCCCCCTGCCCCCAGGCTCCACACCCACCCCGTCTGTGCGGCCTGCCGGTCCCCGGGTGCCACGTGTTCGGTCTGCCAGCCCCGCCCAAACGCACCCCTCAGCCTGGCCGCCAGCCTGACCCAGAACCCCTGCGCCAGAGGGAGGGTGGGAATGTTTGCACGTGGGTCTGGGTGTGAGCTGCCTGGGAGCCTGGATGTATGGCTGTGGAAGTCCAGGAGCAGGGGCTTTGTTTGTGAGTGTGGGACTTAGTGTGTTACTGTCACCCGAGTGTGTCTGTGACTCTGTAGTTTGTGTGTCTGAGTGTGGGTGACTAGCTGGGACCAAGGTGTCCCTGTGATTCTGTGTGCCTGTGAGACTCGCCCCGCACCCTGAAGCACTGCCAGAAGTGGCTGCCGCTCTCTTGGAACCATAGCTGGAGCCATCGCCCAGGCAAGACCCCTTCCTGCCATGCCCAGAGCTGTGCTGTCTCCAGGCCCCTGTTCTGGGAATCAGAACCAGCTGTGCTGGGCAGGGCCCAGAGTCTTGGTCCCAGTCCCATAGGGCTGGCTTTGAGGTCTTACTTAAGTGAGGGGTGCCCCTGCCCCAGCCTGTATTTTGACGTTTTGCTCTAGTGAGAAGGGAATCCGTAAATATCCAGTCTGTATTTGAGGCCCCGGGATGCTGAGGGCAACTTCCCAGCCTGGTCCCAGTTGTCTGGGCCTGCTTGCTGCTGGCAAGCACTGAATGAGCAAACCACATCCCAGCATGGCTCCTGGAAAGGCTAAATGAAGTCATGAGTAGAAAGTGCTCCTGCATGGTAGGTGCACAGTATTGTCTCTCTTCCCGGTTCCCCAAGCAGTGAGTTCTGGGTTGAGGATGCTGCCCTGTGGGATGTCTTCTCAGGGGCACCGGTGCACAGGGGGGTCTACAGATAAACATGTTTCCATGCTTAGGTACAAACCAGTGTGGTCAGAGTTCACATGTCTGTGTTCCTGGGAAGGCGTGAGTGTGTGTGTAGAGTTGTGCAGTGAGGGTGCCTGAGTGTGTCAGTGAGGTGGAGGCCAGTAAGTGTATGTGTCTTAGTAGTGGGGGTATGCGTGAGGATATGCACTTTCGGAGCCGCTGGGAACTGTGGCTGGGTGTCCGTTTGCAGGTGAGTAATGTGAGTCCATGGGTGTGAGAAGGTATGAGCAGGTCAGTGTGGGGTGTGGCCCATGAGTGTGGGAAGCTGGGCGGGAGGTGGGTGGGCAGTCTTGCCTGTCCTACCCTGACCTGCTGGATCTGTTTCCCTCCTACCCTGCTCAGGCCGGCAGCCCGATGCCCGGGCCCACTGGGCGGGCCAGCGGCCGCCTGCGGGATGAGCAGACTGCTGGGGGGAACGCTGGAGCGCGTCTGCAAGGCTGTGCTCCTTCTCTGCCTGCTGCACTTCCTCGTGGCCGTCATCCTCTACTTTGACGTCTACGCCCAGCATCTGGCTTTCTTCAGCCGCTTCAGTGCCCGAGGCCCTGCCCGTGCCCTCCACCCAGCTGCCAGCAGCAGCAGCAACTGCTCCCGGCCCAACGCCACCGCCCCTAGCTCCGGGCTCCCTGAGGTCCCCAGTGCCCGGCCCGGTCCCACGGTTCCCGTGCTGCCACCCTGTCCTGACTCACCACCTGGTCTTGGTGAGTCTGGAGGGTAGGGCCTGCCTTTGGGGAAAAGAGGGTCTTACCAGTTTGACAGAGAAATAGCGTCTGGACTCATGGGGGTGCCAAGGGTCCAGGTCTGTTATAAGGGGGCTATTCTTGGGGTTTCCTAGCCCATCCCCAGGCTGAGGGTGGGGGCTGGTATCTGTGGATTCTGACCAACGCCCTGATTCCTGACACCGTCCTGCTTGCAGTGGGCAGACTGCTGATCGAGTTCACCTCACCCATGCCCCTGGAACGGGTGCAGAGGGAGAACCCAGGCGTGCTCATGGGCGGCCGATACACACCGCCCGACTGCACCCCGGCCCAGACGGTGGCGGTCATCATCCCCTTTAGACACCGGGAGCACCACCTGCGCTACTGGCTCCATTATCTACACCCCATCTTGAGGCGGCAGCGGCTGCGCTATGGCGTCTATGTCATCAACCAGGTGCCTATGTGGGGCCTGTGTGCCTACTGGTGTATCTATCTGTGGGTTGGGGCATTTGTGGGTCCTTGTCTGCCCATGGCCATGTGGATATGTGGTTGTACCTGGACGTAGGAGTCTGTGTCTGTGTGTGTGTTGAGGGGTGTGTGTGTGAATGTTGGCATGCACACTGGCAGGTGTGTGCATGGTCTCAGAAGGGGTTGAGCCCCACTCTCTACCCTTGGCAGCCCCCACTCCATGGTGGTGCAGGCCTAGGGTATGCTGGAGGAGAAGGTGTTGAGGGCCCTGAGGAGAGGGAGCTGGACCCTGAAAGAAGGATGAAGCCTGCAGAAGCCTTTGGGACGGGTGCCAGCCACGGTCTGAGGCCAGCACTGAGCTCAGCATCTTAAGGCCTTTGGTGGGCCTGGCTAGGGCTGGCCACTAGGTCTCAGAAGGGACCTCTGATGCAGGCCCCTCTGGCCCGACCGCAGAGGCCTCCTAGACTTGGACATGGGCATGGGTCCCTCCAGTAGGATGGGGCACAGGTGGAGGTGGAGCAGGGGGCTGTGGAGCATGGAAGGCAGTTGTTGGGAAGCAGTTGTTGAGATGGGTCTTAAGGAATGAATAGGCATGAGGGACTGGAGAAGCCAGCATTCTAGGCAGAGGGACCTGGAGGATGCAGGCCCAGTGAGAGAACTGGCCTCGTGTTCAGGTAGCAAAGATGCGGCTGGAGGAGTTAGAGGTCAAACTGAGAAGTGCCTTGGGAGGCCTGCTGGCAGCGAATCCAGCCCAAAGGTGGCAGGGCATCATGGCAGGTTATAAGGGGAGAGGGACTTGCATGTTTGCTTTGTAGAAAGGTTGCTCTGGGCGCATATGGAGTGTGGATGGAGAGGGGAGATTAGAGGCAGCGTGGCCCATTTGGGAGAGAGGATGATGCCCAGGAAAGAGGTGGTGACCCTGCGGATGAGTGGGGCGGGAGTTGCGGGGAAGAAGCGGGATGTTACGCAAGTAGTGGAGAGTGAGAGAAGAGCGACGTCAGGACAACGCGAGGGTTTCCGCCTTGGCCGTTGGCTGTGCCTGTGAGTGAGATGGGGACACAGGAGCTGGGCCAGCTCTGGGGGAGTGTGACTCTGAATCCTTTCTTGCGTGTGATGAGTTTGAGTGCCTGTGGGAAGTACATGTTTAGCAGGCAGTTAGACAAATGAGTCTGGACCCAGAAGGGAGGTCTGCGTGTAGAGAGGGGTCTGGGAGCACCAGGATGTAGATGGTCTGGTCCCTAAAACCAACAACGTCTGACCTGCCAGGGAGCAAGGGCCATGAGGAGGAGAAAGCCAGCACTTAAGGGATGGAGGGAAAAAGAGGCCGATACAGAGGCTGAGAGGATTGGCCAGAAGGGTCGGAGGAGACCCAGGGGAGTGTGGGATCCCGGAAGCCCAGCAGTCAGTGTCAGGAAGGAGACGTGGCAGCTGCATGAGCACTGTGGGGGTGTGAGGAGGGATGTGGACCAAGACTCGTCCAGTGGATTTAGCAACAAGGTGGGCCCAGCAAGAGCCATTTCAGGGGCATGGTGGGGGCGGAAGCAGATTGCAGTGGGTTGAAGAAGGAATTGGATTTGACGAAATGAAAATAACCAATTAGAGACAACTCTTTAAAAAAAAAAGTCCCTGCTGAGAAGGGAAGGCAAAAGGTAGGGTGGTGGCTGGAGGGAGGTTTGTTTTTTCAGATGGGAGAGGATTGAGCGTGTTTATGAGCCATATGGGAGAGACACAGGGCTGGTATGAGGTCAGAAGGAGTGCTGATGAGCTGGGAGGAAAGCATAGTCTTTCCAAGGGCTGGGGGAAGAGAAGGTACAGGAGAGGAAGGGAAGAGAGCTGGCGGGCCTGGGCAGGTCAGGGTTCCAGAGGGGAGCAGCTCCCACCTCTTCCGGCAGTGGCTTTGCTAGCAGAAAGGAGGGGCCTTCTCTCTTCATTCCAGAAAGGCCACTCACTGACTCCCTCTCCAGGGACCTTTCTGGCTCTCGCCTGGAGATTGTGGATTGGGGCAGGGGCTCAGGTGTCAGCTCCTCCCATTGAATGCTTCCTGCTATGTCCAGAGTTTGGTGCTGAGGCCTACATGGCCAGGACCCCTAGAGCCCCAATTCTTGGGGGATCCCAGGCTCGCTGGGCTGTGACTGCCTAGAGGCCCTCTGCTTGTCATTTTGTTTGGAGACAAGTGAATGTAGCCAAGTGAATGTAGAGACAAGTGAATGTAGCCCAGCCCTGTCCTGGTCTCAGAGGCTGCCCAGGCAGCTGGATGCAGCTCCAGGGAGGCTGAGGCTCAGTGGTGCGGTCCCCATGGCTACTGCATCTTAGACACTGGTCATTTGGGGCATTCGTTATTCATCTCACTGCATGACTCTGTACACAGCAGGGATGCGACCAGGGCTGACCATCTCTCAAATCCCTGCTGGCGCAAAGGAGAAAGAGCCATGGGGTGTGTTTGAATGAGTGAAAAAGACGAGAATGCCACATGACGGTGTCAATGGGTATTGGCAGAAAGGAAGCCCATGGGAAGGAAGGAATAAGTGTACTGGAGTGGGGAAGTTTGGTCAGAGGAGCCTCTCCAGCCCTGAGTGTGACAAGCACAGGTACTGCTAACCCCAAGGCCCGCAGGCAAGGAAGAGTCTGTCATATTCTGGGGCTGCTGAGGGATGTCGTGTGGCTGGGCCTCAGGATCTGAGGGCAGTGGCCAAACCCCAGGTGAGAAGCTGGCCTGGATCTTCAGAGTGTGGTGGAGCCATGCGGCGAGGGGGCTGGTAGACCCCAGGGACTGCTCTGGAGCATGGCAAAGGGGCAGGGGCTTGCTGGTCACAAGCCCAGAGCTGACCTGCCCCTGCCCTAACCCAGCATGGTGAGGACACCTTCAACCGGGCCAAGCTGCTCAACGTGGGCTTTCTAGAGGCACTGAAGGAGGACGCCACCTATGACTGCTTCATCTTCAGCGATGTGGACCTGGTCCCCATGGATGACCGCAACCTATACCGCTGTGGTGACCAGCCCCGCCACTTTGCCATTGCCATGGACAAGTTTGGCTTCCGGTGAGGGCTCTCTTGTCAACTAGACCCAGCCCTCCTGCCCCCACCGTATGCTGGCCCACTTCCAGCCCCAGGGCCCCACTTGCTTCTGGCCCCAGCCCCAGACCACACTGGTGAGGCTGGATCCTCCCTGGACCCACTGAACATTCTCCCTGACCCTGTCTCTGGTCCTTCCCCTGGAGTCCCCTTGGGGCTTACTGACACCTGCTCTCCCATGCCACAGGCTGCCCTATGCTGGCTACTTTGGAGGTGTGTCAGGCCTGAGTAAGGCTCAGTTTCTGAGAATCAATGGCTTCCCCAATGAGTACTGGGGCTGGGGTGGCGAGGATGATGACATCTTCAACCGGTGAGTAAGCGCGGGGTGGGGAATAGGCTGGGTGGGTAGGGGTGAGGTGCAGACTGTATGGGGCTCCTTGCCCTTCTTCAGGCCCATTCCAGTTTGTCTGTCCCCATCCTCAGGATCTCCCTGACTGGGATGAAGATCTCACGCCCAGACATCCGGATTGGCCGCTACCGCATGATCAAGCACGACCGCGACAAGCATAACGAACCCAACCCTCAGAGGTGACCCAGCACCCTCACCCCCACTCCGCAGAGTGACCCCAGCACCCTCACCCCCGCTCCCCAGAGGTGACCCCAGCACCCTCACCCCCTGCTCCCCAGAGGTGACCCCAGCACCCTCACCCCCTACTCCCCAGAGGTGACCCCAGCACCCCCTGCTCCCCAGAGGTGACCCCAGCACCCTCACCCCCTGCTCCCCAGAGTGACTCCAGCACCCTCA